GTTATTATACAAACTTAGTTTTTATATAGTTTCTATATAATTACTTATATAAATTACCTAATAAAGATATGAGCAAGACCTCACCTTAACAACAAAAAAAAAAAAAAAAATCACCAGAAGCCTAAATCATTGGTGCAACAGAAATGTGGTTGTGCGAATTACCATGAGCAACCTTATAAATTTGGCAGGAGTCTTTGGTGGCAATAACCTTCTGAACACCAGGAGCTATAATGAAGCCGGTTTCGTCCATATTCCAGATATGATCTGGGGTAAGTGAATTGTCTTGAATTATCTTGTTTAATTTATTAAAATGATCTTTAATAATGACTGGATTGGATTTTTGAGCACATGCTTCTAACAAGGCTTGAGGTACTTGAAAAGATAGGTTGGGATGGTCTTTCATAAAATGTTTTCACCAAGCTTTACCAGGTCCACTTTCATTAAAAGGGTGATTACGGCCATCACTATTTACAATATTCATTACGCAGTGGTTTACCCCAGATCATGTAAGTCCAAATCCTAGTTTTTGCATATTTACACAATAACCCACTAATTGTTCTTCTTCATAGCAACTCAAAACTGTTGTAGGGCCAGGATTTTCAATAGTGATACTGTATTCAAGACTTAGTCTACAGCGTTTACGATTTGTAACTGGAGAAATTCATCAAAATTTAGATGGATACAACATACAGGACTTAGCGAAGACGCCGAGCTTTGTAATATAACTGATATTGTCGGATTAATGCATTAAAATGTGTATGACAGTTCAATTCTGTGCTTGGCACATAAATCAGATCCTAAACTTAGCAAAAAGTCATGATACGTATTCGACGTTATTTTAAACAGAAAATGAATTTGAACCATTGAATTTACTTTTTATCCTACAGGAAAAGATCGTATCCATAAATATATACATCTGCCCGCCAGCACTGATGCAGATGCATGTTGATATGTTGATATGTACCAATTAATGCCTTTGATACCCATGAAGGCATTATCATACCACTAATAGGGCATATAAGTTGTGTGGATGGGCATTAATCGAAGACGATCACATAGTGTGTCAGAATTGACAGAACAGACGAGAAAAATCATTTTTTTTTTTTAATTTGTTTAAATTTACACACCAAAGGTAGAAAATAGCTGATGATCTGACTTAATGCTTTTTTAGGAAAATTTAAAATTTCCGGTCGATAAGTTTAGGCAAAACTTACCATTTTTTGATACAGTTGCAAAAAATATCCGAAAAAACTTTACCTTGAGAATGATTAAACTATATCGTCGTTACACGGTAGATCATTGGCGGCAATGCGCCAATATTTCACTAGCTTTCGATAATTTAAACGATTGCTAATTCATTAAAAATGGATTTCAACTCTTAATTTGGCTATTGTTTAAAGGCCATATATTGCGAATACAGGAATAACTGATCTGTCGATCTTGGGCAGAGATCCGGAAAAATATCGATTTTATTTATAGGAATTTCAAATCCTATAAATAAAATATATTTTTCCGGGTCCCTGATCTTGGGTTTAAACAAATTATTGTTTGTAGCTTAGCGCAAAATGATTTGAAAATGGTTCTACCGTTCTTAGGTTATCAATGGTAATATCACATAAGCGCATAAACCACACGGGTTTCTTTAAACCATCTAAAACCCGATTATTAGATTCTGTAAAGAACGAAGGTCTATTATCATTAAGAGAGTCTTGCATATTAAAAGAACCTAAAAATATACTCAAAATTTTATTAAAATAACCTTTTAGTTCTTAATTATGATTAAAATTTAATATCACATATCGATATTGTTTTTTCTCGATAAGTTAAAAATTGAATATTGATGAGACAAGATAGAACAGGGACCAGTGATGGTAAATGACCTGAAATGGCCCAATTGACCCAAATGACAAATGACGAGTCATTGGGTCATTTCGAGACCCAAATGACTTAGAAGGTCATTTAACATAAGGGAGGGGGAGGTATTATGACGCAGGTGGGTATTGTGACGCACTCACGTTTTTTGATGATATCTCGTGATAC